GGGGAAGAGGAGGAGGCTGGGAGAAGTGAAGGTGCTTCCGTCTCAGTGTGACTCAGTCCAGTATTATTTGATGTGGCTTGACATTGCCAACAGCTTGTTTCACACAAAGCACCGATCACTCTCCAGTTAAAGAGCACCAGTGAGGCTTGCTGGGGTGTCTGCTGGCACAGTAAGCCAAGATGTGAATTTACAGTACGCTAGTTGTTCTGCACCGGCTCATTGTGTACATGCTTGTAGCCCAGACTGAGTGCAAGGTAAAGTAAGTCAGTGCACACAAAGGTGCTTTTAGTGCATGGTAAGAGCATCCAAATGCCAGTGTGCTAAGTTCAGATACCACAAAGTTGGGCAGACAAGTTGTGAAAAGTCATGCCAGGTGTAAGACGGACACAGGGCTTGGAACTACAGTCCAACCCTCCTTGTGGCCTGAGATGGAGCATTCTGCATGTGCATTAACGAACCCATTCCCCCCACAGAGGAGCTCAGGTCGCTGACTTCCTGCATCAGTTCTCTGATTCTCAAAAATGGTGTCAGAGCAATCATCTTGTATTTTCAGTGTATGAAGTTTGTGAACCCATCTCCTGCTGACAGTGCTGGCATCACATGCATGCAGCGCCTGTGTCCTATGGAACGACAAAGGGATATTTTCAGCTCTGTAGCCTGCAGAACAGTGTGAAGCCTTTTGTTTTCCAAGTCTTCCTTTTTTGCATCTGTACAAAATATCCTTCAAGGGAAAATAGCACCCAGATGACTGGCAAGCTGTGACCTAATAATATCTGAGAATCCATTACACCTGAGCAGTCTGAAATATCACCAGTGGCTGGACCCTTACTGGAGCCCCCATCTCAGTCCTGATCAGCAATAGTTCCTTTCAGCTGAGGTGTTCCTCTGCCAGGTGCAGCCGAATTGTGTTACAAAAAGCCACTTCTAGGTGTAATAATTCCTCTCCTGATTCATTTCCAGCTGGTACAAAAACAAGCAGTGGCTGGGACAGAGCAAAGGAAATTTAATCTGGGAGGAAAGAATGTGGCTGAATGCCTTGCTCTAGACTGCAGTATCTTTTTATTTTCTCATGAGGATTTAGTTTGACACTGAAAGCTGCCTAAGAGAACTGAATGCACAGAGTCCATTTACTGTAATGGAAATTGGCTGCTCAAATTCCTTAGGTGTCTCTGAAATTCTCAGCATTGCCAGTGGGATGGATGTACAACTGATGTGCTCTGAGCAGTTATCCAGGTCAAAATGCAGTTACTGTTTATAAGCTCTTCTGATATTTATTTGTATGTGCTTTTCTTAAAGGTTGGCAAGTGTCTGGTGCTAAGCTTTTGGATAGGAGTGTCCCCCAGTCCTGACTGCTGTAGCTATTCCACTTTGTATCAAGACAAACATGCTGCAGCCAGTGGAAGATCTTCTACTAATCAAGCTATCCTTTCTTTTCCAACTTTCTTGTCTCTTAGTTACTCCTGGGAATGTCTCTCTTCTCCTGTTTCACAGCCGTGCAGACTGTTTCCAGCCTCGGCTACACTTGCTTTTTCCAGAGAACTGAAGAAGAATGCATTTCATGTGAAAGCTTGTCTCGGTCCATCCCAACTAGGCAGTTGGTCCAATAAAACATAAAACCCACAAAAAATCCTTGCCTCTTGCACATTTCCCAGACCATCATGAATACAACATCACTCCAGCATTGCTATTTCTATCTTATGGATTCCTATGTCTTCTCTATTAAAATTTCTCCTTAACAAAGGAATAAAATTAAGAACACAAAAGAGTATATCCATAGTACCATAACGCTTGGTTTTTTCCAATCTCATGTGGAGGCTATAACCATAAAAGAGGATGCAAGTCTGTTACGCTTGGTTTGGCAGCTGCTGAAACACAGTGACAGTTCTTCTGGCACTGTTGTTCTACACAAATGAGTTGTTTTTAAAAAAAAGCAAGTATCATAAAACTAGAGCTGAAATGTCAAGGTTCTTGTCTGGGCTGTTTCAGACTGGGACAATGAGGTGCCAGTACATAAAATGGCATGGGTTAGGGTTCTATAATGTGATAGTATTGGAGAACAGAGAAACCTGCTTGTGTTGGAGGGAATAATTCCAGACTGAATAAGGCCTGCAGGGTTTTGCCTAGTGACCTGCATGCTGAAGTCCAATATCTAAGTAAAATGTTCATAGTTCAGTAGCTACTGCAAAATAATGGTTATAAAATAGTTTTTCTGATTAGGATTAATCAGTAACTGTTATATTTGAGGCTTTAAGGGGGTCCTTGTGCATGGTGCTGTACAAACATATTGGAAATGACCTACTCCCTGCCCCAAGGAATGACTAATACTGTATTAAATTATCTTGGGGCCAGACTAGAGGCTGTAATGTGAAAACTGTTGATCATAGAGACCTTTGCCTGGCCCGCTTTGAATGCCATTCTTAACCTGGCCAAAAGGCATGACAAGACAAAATAATGTGAGGGTATAAATTTAAGTATGCAAAACCATTGATGGGTAAATGAACAGAAGACTAATGAGAGTGTCAGATGTAAAATTAACGAAGTTACTCCAGTTGGCATTTGTACCAAAATCCTCAGGCACAATAATAAAAGCAGACAATGCATCTGCAGGTGCTGCAATGAAAAGATCACACAGTAAGGAATCCAGTTAGGAAAAGAAAAGATCAGACAGTTTCCCACACATGTTCATACAATAGGAAAGCCCCTAAGTTTCTTGGGAACTTGCAATGTCTGTCAAATAAATTCTGTAGAAATGAAGCAAGGGGAAATACTCTTAGTTTCATAGTTGGTAGGGTTGGAAGGGACCTAAGCAGATCATCTAGTCTGAATCCCTGCCATAGGCAGGAAAGGGTGCTGGGGTCAAATGACCCTAGCTAGGTGGCTGTCTAGCCTCTTTTTGAAGACCCCCAAGGTAGGGGCAAACATCACTTCCCTTAGAAGTTGGTTCCAGATCCCAGCCGCCCTGACAGTGAAGTATTGCCTCCTGATATCTAGCCTGAATCTACTCTCAGTCAACTTATGGCCGTTGTTCCTTGTTACCCCTGGTAGTGCTCAGGGGAACAGGGACTCTCCCATTGCCTGCTGGTCCCCCTTGGCAAGTTTATAGGCGGCCACAGTACCATGAAGGAAATATGTGGGGTATGAGGAAAAATAAATAGTCAGATAATGAACACCATCACTTTTTAACTGAACATGTCCATCTAAGGGAAACAAAATCCCACTGAACATAAATGCTGCCAAATGATGTATATAAAGTCCAGCTAACCATCTTGAGACTTTCCCATAGGTGAAATTCTCAGCAGAGGATTCATGAAATGTGCCTATGCACTACCTGCGCCCTGCTTCAGTCTTTTAGTTGGGGTTTAACTGTAGGTATCACATGAAACTTACTTTTGGGGGTATTCTAAACGGGGCAATTTCACACGGAAGCAGTAATATAACTTTAAATATATCAAGGAAAGGAATATAGCTTTTTATGCAAGTGCAGCTGTATCAAGAACCCCACTTTAGAAGCACTGGCCCTGAAAAAAGTATTCATTATAATTAGGATTATTAAAAGCAAAACAGTTTTGAACTATAATAGCAACTATGCAGAGCACACTTCTCAGCAGCCGATACAAACTTTCTCTTTTATTTAAGTTTCTGGTGGGCATTTTCCACCTATTATCTACATAACTGATATTTGTGAGGGTCTTTTGTACACGTCAGATGTTTTAACATTCAATATTTATCTGAGTTAAATAAGAGTTTGACAAAGCAAAACATTTGTGAAAGTGCAGGCCGGGCAATAAGTTTCCCCCAGTTATCTCTTGTATTGCAGTGTGTCATAAACATAATGGACCTGGAGATGCTTTGCTTGAAATGAGGGCAGAACAGGACCTCACGTAATCATATGGAAGATGCTGCCAGCAGAATGCCTGCTAAGTATTGCTCTTTCAGCAGTGACCAGTGTCTGTTGTCCACTCACTCCCTTTTAAAACATGACGACTCTAAATCCTCAACGGATGTATAGGCTCCTAGGCACAATTTTGGAAAACAAAAGAGAGTATCTCTACATGATTATCTGTGGTTGTCCCAGGGCTTTAGTGCTCGATACAGAGCAAAAGGGCTCATTGTTTCCCCGCAGGAGCGTTGGCAGTGGCAATGAGACTAACGAAATGTCTTCGGTGCTTGAGGGGCTTATGAACTTACAAATCCACATTCTCCATCAAGCAGTCTGATTCTTAACTATTGTGAACTATATTTCCACAGCTTTCTCAGATCATTTACTGACAAAAAAGCCTTTTTCTGCACAAAGTAGATGTTGTTGCTGCAGCAGAATCACTTCTTGGTGCTTTGCTAGGCTGTTTGGCTTATGCCCTGGGTGTGCTGAGATGCTGAGGCACACCAATAACCCCACAGAGTGTGTTTGACTGCCAAGTCCTATGGAGAATTATTGCTGATTGGGTGATATGTTGTCTTTCTACCACACTGTCCTGTGACCTGTCGGTGGTTCTTTCCTTCTCATGGGATGGCTTCTCCTCTCTCCCCTTTGTGTCTGCAGTAAATATATGCCTAGACTGTTTTTACTGATTTTAATCAAAAGAACAGGTTTTCTTGGATGCTTGAAAATGTTGAAGGAAAATTTTTCTTCTCAATTATTCTATTTGATCTTACACTTTTTACATAAAAGGCTATTAAGAGAAAGGGGAACCTGTCATTTTTATGTTGAATCTTATAAGTTTCCATTTGCTGCTATGGGTGAGCTCCAAAGATAACAGTCTGTATAAAGAATTATAATCAGCAAGAACTGTTTTGATATTTCTGCAGCTTTCCCATGCAAGGCGTCCTATTGTAATAATACGAAAACCATAGCAGTGCAATTGCAACATTGGCTGGCTATTACAACCCACTTAAGATATGCCATGAAGGGACTTTATGTTGATTGGGGAAGGGAGGAGGGGGAACATATGGAGCTGCAACTGCACCTAATTAAATAGCGGGGTTTTTTGGGGGGTTTTCAGGGAAGATGAACTGAGCAGCCATTGATCATCCTGACACTAACATACTCAGGCTCCTTTTCTTGATTGGATTTTCAGGGAAGCAGCTTGCATCCTAAGAAATATGAGGCCACATCTACCCTTTTGAGGCATACAGCACAGCAGGGATAACCTACTGCTTCCTTGTGGTAGGTAAGAGATGCTCCGCTTCTCTTTACATGCGATGCAGTTGGAGACTGAAAACAGATGAGCCAAACACTGTAGATCTCAGACAAGTGCCATGTGCTGGCACCTTTGTGAACATCGGTCCCACAATACTGGCAAGACAATATCATTTTGAGCAGCTTGGTAATGCAGTGCCATATCCCTTCCCTGCCCTCCCCAGCCCCCAGCTGTGCTGGCACTGCTGGTCGCTGCCTGAGAGCCCAGCAGTAACTGGTTTCAGTAGGGAAACACATCCCTTACAGTGTTCTCCCCCCCTTATCTTGCCAGTCAGAACCTACAAAAAATGTGAAGCCCCCTGCACCCATTGATGCTATGGAGTGACAGCTACCAACCTGATAATGACTGTAGCATGTAGAACAGATCTGTGGAAGTGACCTTGGCGCCATGTGAGAGCAGGGAAAGAGCATGCATGGGGCACAGAGTACAAACTGGCATTAGGAAAGCAGATGGTAACTAGGATACGTGAGTCTAGAAACAAGGAAATGCGGCACAAACCTTATGGTAAGCTTGCTTCTGTGTGTGCAGCCAGGATGCTGCTGGAGTTTTAAAGGGCAGTCTGGGTTGGAGCTACTGACTCGCTTGAGAGGAGGAACATAGTCTGAGGGCAGCACCATCTGACCTAGGACAGGGGTGTACACTTGGGATCCACTCTGAAGCCTCTGGGTGAGCTGCACGTAACCAGAACCACCCACCCTTCCTGATGAGTTGCTTTCAGGGGCTGGAACTGAGATCAACTAGCAGCAGACAGGTGTGGCTCTGGGCTTGGGCTTTGTGTGGCTCCTGGTGTGACTTGAATGCACAGAGATACTTATTTGTTATAAACCATTTAGAAGAGCAGCAGTTCCAGAAGCAGGAGTAAGAGGAGATGAAAGACCAAGGATAACCAAGGATTAGCCAGGGATAGGAAACCAGCCCCAAATCTCTCTCCAATTACAAGCAGCCCTCCTCTAGGATGGTAAGAATAGGATCCACACAAGTGACATTCTGATGCTAATTTTAAATGCTTCATTCCTAAAAACGTAAGACCTGCTGTTTACTGGGTCAGTCCATAGGTCCACCTTGCCCAGTTTCCTGCACCGCACTGACAGAGAGATGCTGAAAGGGAGAGTGAATTGGGTCTGACCAGGGTTTTTTTTCACTGTTCCTCTCTTTTTTCAGCTTCTTGCATTTAAGATCTAGGAAGTTCTGATTCAGAGGCTGGACCCCAACTCGCATGCTCAATACCTGCTGATGCCCATTTCCACCAAGAATATAGTCCACTCCCTTTTTGAATCTGACTAAACTGTCAGCCTCCACAACATCTGGTGGCAATGAGTTCCACACTTAAATTACACAGTGTGTGAAACAAAACTAGAAAAATCAGACAGAGGGTCAGGAATGGGAACTCACTCCATCTTGTGACCCATTCTTGTGTGCTTTGAAGCTAGGGAAGCAAGCGGCAGACAGTGAATTGGCGGTCAGAATCTATGACACCAGATCACTCAGTTTCACCGGCATATTTGGAAAGTATAAAAATAAAAAGGGAACTTGAAGCCTGTTCCTGTGAGAGACTGAGCAGTGGGGGAGTCTGGACTGTTCAGCACTTCTCAGGATGGGCTCTTTGCATGGTAGAGGTACTTTGTGCAATATGTACATCACCTTTGGGGAAAAAGTTATTAATGAAAGTCATTGAAACAGTTACATAAGGGACTTCTTAGGTTGGGAGACTATTCCATGTCCTAAAGTGTCCTTGAGAACAGCTCTAGTGACCATATGGAAGGATTCCCTCACCCACAGTAAACCTGGAGTCACTGGGGTTCCACCCACTTATAAGCAGAGTGTTTCAGCTTTTTATTATTATTGTTGTTTTAAAGGAACCTAGTATCATCAAATGTAAAATAAAGAACAGGCCTGGGAAGTCTAACACTAAGCTTCCCACCAGCCTTGTCATTTGCCTCCATAGCAGCACATGTGATAACATCCTAAATGCTGTGATCCAAGTGCCAGGGGAATAACTTGGTATTCCCATTTTGCCATATGCCGTGATAATGCTGTATTGTACTTATGTAGATTTATTTTATTACCAGAGGGTCTCGGAATCAGGCTGTTGAAACTGGAGATGGCAAAGATACGTCAGCTGTAAGATCTGCTTCCCGCTGTGGCACTTCAGGATTCTTGCCCACCAGTGTTCCTTCTAGAGGAGACTTTTCAAAGCCTTACCTCCCAATGTCAGAGGCCTGGTACATCTTTGTGCCATCTCCTCCACTCTTTCTCCATCTGTAGTATTCAAACAAGTAACTATTCAAATCCAGATCCTGTACATGGGGCTAGGAACAGGGACCAGTAGGTGGCAGCTTCATCCAAGAAATAGAGATGCATTTGTAAGAGAATCCATTTGCAAAAAAATCACTTACAGTACAGCTTTTCCCACTTTCCTGTTGCACTTGTAAGCACCTTGGAGTAGCAGTGCTTCAAAGACTTCTGGTACATAAATATTCCATGTCCCTGTTACTCAGGATACGATACTTCTGTTGAAGGAAAATCACTCAGACTCAGATTCTAAGCTGATACTAAGGCCTTGAGTCAGCAATAAACTTAAGCACATGCCTGCCTTTCAGCATGTGAAGCCTACTGGTGAAAGCAATATAACCACTGACCGTGCCTTTAGGCAAGCATGCGTTCTAAGTGTCTTGCTCAACTGGGTTCTACGTCTTTTTAGTTACTTTTGTGGGTTTTGGAGCAGGCCCTAAATTATTAACTGAATTCCAAAAGACAACTGAAATTATAACTCCTCCCCCACCCCCAAACAGCCATGTTTTAAAGAAAGCAATGTTGCAGCATATTTCATCATTCCAGTGACTACAAAAAAAACAGGCAAATTGTCACTTTGAAATAGTTCTGCCTATCACTTCTTAATGAAAAAAATTAACTGTTTGCAGATTCAGCTGTGGTGATGCCTTGTGCTGTCTTAGTAATGCAAAAGAATGGGGAATGCATAGGATATTTCAATTACAGAGTAAAAAGCAGAGTAAGAAAAAGATTTACTTTCTAAAGGTGACACTGATTGTAACTGCATGCTGTACATTCTTGGTGCAAAGAAAAAACACCGTATAGTTCTGTCAGTTCCAGAATACTTTATATCTTCATTGCTACCAGCATTTCAACCTCCAGGATTTCTGCTATTCTGAGCCTACTGCATTGAATCTGAGCTTTGACTTAGCTCTCTCTGATTCTGGGTATATACAAATATGAATGAAAACATAAGTGGTGGTGTCATGTTGGAGCAGAACTAGACCATAACCTGTCTCCAGCCATGGCCAATAGCAGCTGTTTCACAGGAAGGTATAAAAATCCTTACTGAGGGCATAGGGAATGGCCTGAGCATTTAGATACAAGGCTAAGCTTTTGCGTATGACTCAGCTTGTCATAAAAGAATGAGGAAAGAGCAGCAGGAAGTCCACCTCAAGGTATATTTCAGTTTAAACAAGCCAGAGAGCAGCTGCTGATACCATTGCAGTGCAAAGAACTTGCATAAGTGACAACAGAAGGAGGAATCAGTGACTCCTCCAGAGATGGTAGTCACTGGTTCCCCCTCTGCCCATGTGGAGTTCTCTGCAGTGCGCTCAGTAATGCTTCCATTTCAGCAAGAGGTTAGTTCTGCGCTCTGCTGACTCCAGATGTTGCTCCCTTTTCCTCCTGATCATCTGCTAAATTGATACGAGACCTTTGCAAAAGCTCTCCCTGGGCACACTTTAATGCAGCCAGCTTGAGCACAAGTGGTGGGCCAGTGGGCCCCCTCAGCTTGCTGACAAAGGGAAGCTTTCTGAGTTCCTTTTTAGTCTGGATTTTAAACTAATTTTGAAAAGCTCTTGTGCTGGTCACCTCTTAAGGCAGAGGCCAGATGAAGCAGCTGTTGGCTTCTTATTGAAATTCAGGTCCTTTGCCCCAGAGAAAACTGCCTTCGTCTGAGTTTCTAGAAGGCTTCAAAGGGAGGGGCAGTTAACACTATTGCCACCTTCCTTATTGCTTTTGGTATTTTGGTCCTAAAGGGGAGCAAAATGATGTTCTCCATTAAACCCTTGAGACCTTGGTAACAACCAGAGCATTAAAGGGTGTGTGTGGGGTGGGGAGGAAGTTCACACCAGCCTTCTGCAGAACCATGAAACACCAGTGGAGAAGAAGAGGCCTTGAGGGTGCTACAAGAAGGCAGAATGAGGAAGAAACTGAGAGAGACAGGGTGCTAAGCAAGAGCTTTCTGACTGAGCACCCTAACAGGTCATAGCAGGCTCTCCCCAGGGGAGCAGTGGAAGCCAAACTGTTTAGGCCAAAGAATGAATGATCTAGTAAGCCCCTTCCAGCCTTAACTTTCATGGATCCCATCACTTCTTCCTGCAGAAGAAAATCATTGGGTGGGGGAGGGTATTGCAGGCATTCCCAGATGTTTCCTTTGGACAGCTCCCGAATGCCTTTAAAGACAGGGTTCTTCTCACCTCCCACAGGACTAACTGTGGGTTTCCCCTATGGAACTGGTTACCTAAACCAAGATCTGCAGGGGCCAGATTCATTCATACACAGCTTTTCTACCACACCCCTGCTTCTGGTTTACAAGCTACCTGGAACTTCAGACCCAACACCTGCTGTAAAAAGGAGGTTTCTTGATTAATAGAAGGGCCACAGAGAGTTAAATGCTATGCTAAGTGGCATTTGTTTTCTGGTGGATTCTCCAAGAGCCTTTTGATGGGGAGTGAGTCTAGTCTTACTCAGCCCAGCTTCTGGACTCTGTCTCTTCGTTTTCCAGTCCAGACATCCCCAGCTGGTGATCTCTGACTCCAGTAAGTGGCTGTGACCAGGGGCCATCCAGTCATCCAACTGCCTCAACAAATGTACCCAGGGTCAGAGGCATATCCCAACTAGGTGAGTTCTCACCACAAACACATCTCAAAGTGAAAACCAGTTTCTTGTGGTTCTGCTGGCAGTCTCCCAGAGGAAGTAGCTTGCACTGAAACACACTCCTCAAAGCATCTTTACTGTTTAACTAACTCATCATTGGTGTCCAGGAGGGGCCACGTATATGAGAAAGGAATGGTGCACACCCATGATTCACACCATAAGGGTACTAACTCAGGCATTTCACTTGGATGAATGCAAATTGTTGCATATGTGAATAATTCCATATTAACAGGGCCTGTTTCCACAGTGTCAGATGAATGGCAAGACCATGTGCGCTCGCCATTCTGTCCTGGGACCTGCCTTAGCCCACATCCAGTCAAGTGAGAGATTTCCACAAAGTGTTTTTCATCTAAAATTCATGTGGATGAAAAGGCCTTTGACACCGTCTCTCACCCCATCCTAGTTAAAAAACTAGGTGACTGTGGCATCGATGCCTACACGGTCAGATGGATTGCAGATTGGCTGAGGGGTCGCACTCAGAGGGTAGTGGTGGATGGGTCATATTCAACCTGGGGGGAGGTGGGTAGCGGAGTCCCCCAGGGCTCGGTCCTGGGGCCTGCGCTGTTCAATTTCTTCATCAGCGATCTGGATGATGGGGTGGAAAGTAACCTGTTTAAATTCGCTGATGACACCAAAATCTGGGGGGAGGTGAGCACGCTAGCAGGGAGGGA